GGCTGAACCCGCTCCAGCACCAATACCCCCTCCCCTTGTACAACGCACTCGATGACACACCCTTACCTGTCCCACTTCAATATCCCCTGGCAAGGAAACACGCACTCCCCCCAACCACACACACATACACATGCACACACATGCACACACATGCACCACGACACACAAACACACTCTCACACACATACACACAAGTGCACACACACACCCTCGCCGCCCGCAGGTCTCGTACATCCTCGGCGGCCGCACCGGCCGCAACCCCGCCTTCCTTGCCGGCTTCGGCCCCCGCGCCCCCGACCGCCCCCAGCACGCCCAGGCCTCCTGCCCGCCCCTCCCCTCCCCCCTCTCCGCCGCCGCCGCCGGCGGCGCCGCCGCCGCCAGCTGCGGCCCCGAGGCGCTCTTTTCCTCGGACCCCAACCCGAGCGTGATAGCCGGCGCGCTGGTCGCGGGCCCCGGGCCGGATGATGATTCCGAGGTTCTCGCGTCGAGGGCGGGCCCGGCGAACAGGGTGGGGATCCACTACAATGCGCCGCTGCTGGGGGCGCTCGCGGGGCTGGTGGGCGCCGGCGCGGCGCCGTCGCGCTGCCAGGGCGGCAGCGGGGTGCTGCAGCAGCTGCTTCCGGACGACTTCACGTGAGGATCGGCTGCTCGATGCGTCACCGGCCTTCCATTATTATGATAGAAAGCAGATGCGCGAGCCAGCCAATTTATCATCCAGATGATTGCTGTGTTCGGTTCAAATCAGCAGGCTTACATTTGAGCCATCGTAATTTTGAGTCGACAGTTGATGACGCATGCTACCCATTCACAGCTTGTTGCATACATACCAAGCAGGGCTGCGCAATCATGGCTTTTGTCGTTGCATGCATGCACATGCACACGGCAAGCTGTCTTTGTGCCCTGGGTTTCTCGGCGCTGTGTCCAGCCCTTGCAACCCGCCGCACGCACAGAGTGCGTTTGGGAGCGGCGTGCGCCCCTTCAGACTCACGAAGTTGGCGCCAGCACGCTAGGGTTCAGGGCTCACGCAGGGTTTAATTTCCAGGCTGCACGGGGGTCCCTGCTGTGCGGGGTGGTGCGGGTTTGAAAATCTGCCCCCATTTGCCGGTCCCTCCTTTCCCACAGTATGATGCCGGCTGGGTACAATGCACCCAATCCGTCAATCGTTCCCCTGGTGGCTTGTGCCGATGCATCAAGCGACACCCGCAGGCTGCAGCCAGACCTTTTTTTGCAAGGGGGGTTGACGGGCTGCGCCCGCGACGGCCGCCCTGCGTCGCACGCGGGCTCATCACTGATTGCGGCCACTGGATACTGCGACCGCTGCGCCACGCCATCCACTCGCGCCGGCGGCGCCACGGAAGCAGGGCAGCGCATACACGCGGCCGCCTGCAGCGCCTGCGTTGATAATGCATTCATGTGACCAGGATTTCTCAATCGTCCATACAACCACTATTCTTAGGACTGAGGGCCCCGTTTGCACACCTGAGCCCTCATTTATTTGGCCCGTAGGGGGGCTGGCAGGCTGCATATCAAGGTGTTAGTCGAGGACATATGATAGAGCAGAATTTGTGGAAGCCACGTACCCGGCTGCATGCGAAAATGGTGGGCAGCTGCTGCAGGGCCGGGGGCGGCGACGCATTTGCTGCGCGCCTGACGCCAGCGCCCGGGAGTGGTGCGCAGAACGGCACCGCGGAGCTCTCAATGGTGTGGCAGGCTGGCACAGGGTTGCTGGGCCGGCGCGGGGGTGCGTGCTGTGGGCGGCCTGCGCAGCGGGGTACGTAGCACAGCACAGCACAGCACAGCACAGCACAGCACAGCACAGCGCAGCGCAGCACAGCACAGCACAGCACAGCACAGCACAGCACAGCACAGCACAGCACAGGACTGGGCAGGACAGCAGAGCGCGGTGCCGCATGCAGGTCCACCCACAACCAGGTCAAGCTGGGCCCAAGACTCTGAGCAGGTAGGCGCTCCGGCGCCACAGAGCACCTCGCTCTCTTGCCAGCGGGCGCCCCCAGCAACGCACAGGCCTGCCGGCCAGCCGCTGCGGTTGGCGCCCGCCCGCCGCCATACGCCACCTGTCCCTGATGGCAGGCGCGCCCCGCAGCCGCGGCAGGGCGCGCCGCGTGCTGCGCGGCTGCGCCCCGGCAGTGTCCAGAGCCCTGACAATTCAGTTTTTAGCCGGGAGCCGGTAGGCAGGGGGCTTCCCTGTCGGGGTGCAATATTACATAATTTAATACGCAGCGTCAACCACCGGGCCGTTGTCGAAAGTTTTTAGGTGTAACAGAGAGGCCTTGAGGGGCGGCCCGCCAGGCGGCTGCCAGTGCCGCAGGATGTGGGTGTGCGTGCGGCGGCGCGGGGGCTCTTGCACATGCATATGTGGGTGCTCGTGCTGCGTGAAAGAATCTCAATCGAGGGTGACCAATGATCATGGTTTGAGGCAGAGTCCGCGTGCGAACACGGGGCAAGGCTTGAAGGGGGCAAGGCTTTCAGGTCTGAAAGGGGCTGCTGCCCCACAACAACTCGTTGGAGGGTCAAGATAGTAGCAGGCAGGCGCGAAAAACGGATGTCCAGAAACAAAGGCGCGAGAGGCACAGGCACGGACCGCCCGCATGCGCCTGCACACACCCGCGCTCCGCCTGCCAAGGCGAGGGGGGGGTTGTGTGTGCATCCGCCAGCGGGCGTGCGGGCGGCCCCGCTGACCTTCACACGCGGGTCTTGGCCAATTGTCTTGGGCAACAAAACAACCCAAAGGGTGCTCGGCGCGTTCCGGGCCCCGTGGGCGGGCGGGGGCCGGCCGACAGGGGGGTATATGTGAATGGGAGCGCCGAGCGCCCAACAGCCGTGATCAGAAGCATGCGGCGACAGCATGCAACAGTGGTCATCGCTCTTCTTCGGGTCCAGAACAAAGTGACAGGAAGCGGCGCGCCTGGAGGCGCACATCCCATAGGTGTGTGGGGGCATGAGTGCGCGGCGGCCGCGGGCGTGCGGGATAAAGTGAGGGGCTGCGGGCCCGTCGCAACGCGGTGCGCGTCGCGTGCCTCTCCGGCGTGGCGGGAGTTCCTCTAGGGTCAAAACAGAGACGGATGCACATTGAACGCATGCGCGATACGAAGCCCTCTGCCATGTCATCATTTGCAAGCACAGGCGCGCACAACACAAAGCCAGCACACCCCGCAGCTACTGCAGCCACTGCGTGTGCGCGCGCGCATGGCGACGCGCCCCTGCCGCGCCTGCCGGCCGGGCCGGGCGGCCGCGGAGATTCAAACGCCGCCTGGCGACAGCTCATCAGAATCAGGCCGACACGGCCAGGCCGAGGCCCGCGGCGATCTGGGCGGTGTCGAGCATCGCCACGCCCGAGATCAGAGGGCTCAGCGCGCGCAGCACGCGCGGGCCGAGCGCCGCGTAGCCCCAGCGCAGCGGCGCGTGCACAGCGTGCATCGCAGAGTGCAGCTTGTGCGTCATGCCGGCGGCGTCAAAGATCGGGTCCAGCACCCAATCGGAGTAGCTGCTCGCGAGCACGCCGTCGACGACGACCGTCCCGGCGTTCGTGACGGGCGCGAACATGCCCTCCCGCGACACCTCAGACACGCGTTCGACGGCCGCCGGAACCGCGGTTTTCGCGTCGGCGGAGAGCACGAGCAGGCTGTCGCCGGCGGCGACGTCGCGGGCGCGCGTCATCCTGGCGGCGGCGAGGGACTGGCCGACGGGGACAAAGTGTCCGGGCGACAGCTCCAGCGCGCGGCCGCCGGCCAGTTCGAGGCGCACAAAGTGGTTGTCCCCGCCGCCGACCTGCGGGACCGACGCGCACGCAGGTCCGCAGCGGAGCACACAAAAGTCAGGTTGCGGCAAAAACGGGGCCGTTCGGCAGATTGCCGCGCGGCTTGCCGCAGTCAACACCATGGTCAAACACGCTGAGATCGCTCCCCGCCCCTTTGCTCAGCTCGGCGCTTCCGCCGGCGTGGCGAGTCCGCATTCGTCCGCACCGTCTGGCGCAAAAGGTGGCCTTTTTCCGTGTACATTTACCCCCCCCCCCCCCCAAAACAAACAATCACCTGGTGGTCGAAGAAGATGACGTCATCAAAGGCCGTGCTGCCGTCCTCCTTGACGACCATCACCTGTTTTGAACCATTAAAATTTGGGCGGGACAAGTGGGGGTGGTGGGGCCGAGGGCCGAAAAATCCGCGTGTGGCCGCCACCCAAGGGCGCCCAAGCAGAACGGGTGCGGCACGCCGCGCCTGCGTCTGCTTTTTTGGTCGGGCGGCCCCGCCAGCACGCCCCTGTGTCGCCCCTTGCGCCCCGCCCAACACCGGGCCGCCCCGCGGCCCCGCCGCCCGCCCCGTCGCGCCCGCCCCTCCCGCCTCCTCTGAGCCCCCGCGCCCACTACGTCCGCCCAACTTTAGAGCAAAAAGGGAGCGTGCCCCACCTTGTCTCCGCCCGACCCCGCGCCTGCCGCGGCGGCCAATTAGATAAACCCTAAACCCATGTCTGAGCCCGCGCCCACCTTGTCCCCAACCTCCAGATCACGCATCGCCTTGGCGGCGCCGCCGGGCAGCCGGACGGCCGCGGCGCCGGGGAAGCAGGAGAGGGCCGACTTGGAGCACATGTTGAGGTTGTCAAACCACTTGGCGCGCGCGTCGCTGTACACGCTGCGCGGGGAGAAATGTTGAATTGAGAAACGCACGAAAATGTGCGATTGAGGGTTTGCTGGATTGAAGGTTTGAGGGGATGGCGGCACACACACACACACACACACACACACACACACACACACAAACACACACACACACGCACACACGCACCTGCCCTTCGGCTGGCACAGCTTATACAGCAGGTCCTCTCGCGTCACGTTGTTGCGGCGGCTGACGACGACCGTCTGCTTCTCCACGAAAAAGTTGTCCACCCCATTGTTCCCGCAGACCACGATCCCGAGCTCGGAATCGTCAGTGCCAATAGGGGACGCCGTCTTCGTGCAGAATCCCGCCGCCGCCTTGGCGCGCCACGCGGTGAGCGTCTTCTCGAGGGTCGCGTTTTTGGTGGTCGGCTTGAAGCGGAACGTCTTGCACTTGGCCGTGTACGTGCAGTACGCGCCGGGGCCCGCCTTGATTACGACGCCATTCACGATGCGCGCCGCGGTCGGGCGGCGCGTCACCGGCGCCTTCGCCTGCGGCGTCACTGCGGCGGCGGCCGAGGCCGCGGCGGCGTACGCCTCCGCCGAAGGCAGCGCGGCGAGGATGGCGGCCGGGCCGCAGACAGGGAACGGTGCGAGGGACGCGGCGCCGCACTTGGCGGCGACCGCGCCACGCAGGGTCTCGAGGAGCGCCGCGTCGACGGCGACCGTCTGCTTGATCACGCCGGCGTCGCAGCCGCAGGCGGAGACGAATGCGGGGTCGAACGCGGCCGACGCGGCGCCGCAGCACTGGGGGGTGGGGCTGAGTGCGGTAATGTCGGCCTTGAGGCCGGACTGGGCGCGCCAAAGGATGGACTGCAGCTCGCCCTTGCAGAGGGAGACCGCGTTGGCGACCTTCGAGGCGCAGTCCGCGGGGGCGGCGGCGGCGGCGGCGGCGGGCAGCGCGGCGGCGGCGAGGAGGGCCGAGAGCGCCAGCGCCAGCGCGGCGCGGCTCATCGTGTGCGTGTTTGGGGGCGGATTCGCGGGTTTCCGGCGACCCTGAGCGTTGGGGCAGGAGAAGAGGCAGGAGGGGAGGTTGGGAGGACGGTCTCGGGTTGTTGCTGGTAGGTGGTTGGCCACCCAGCGCAGGCGGGGTGACACAGGCAGCAGCGCCGTGCGCTGTGTGCGTCGGTGAGATGCGCGCCGTGCTTCAAATCTGGTGTGAAAGCTGCATGCCAATGTAAGATGCGGAATGCTTCTATTGACTGTGAGCCCTCCCATCGCCTGGCTCGGCCAACCGCGCGTGAAATCATGGAGCTCTGCCGCAAGCCAAAGCCTTTTCCCCCTCATATTGAAGCTCATTCAGCTAATTACAGTTATGTGTTTACGCGTATGACCGGCAGTCATGGGCCGTCCTCGGCACTCGTGCCGAGGGCCCTGACCCGGTGAGCACACAACTCTGTGTCCGGTGCCCTTGCCCCGTGGACTGAGGTCGCGCCAGGCTCACCGTAGTCTTTCAAGACTGTAAACTTATATATGAAGGGCCGCGAGCGTCGAAGGACGTGACGGCGCCTCAAGCGACACCGACAACGCCTTCTATGACACTCTATAGAAAGACTTGGCAGATATAGACGAGTTACTGCGGTAGCGGCACGTTCAATTCATTGTTTGGGGCCAAGAACGTGATGGAAGGGGTGTTGTAACCGGAGGGTCACTCGGCGTGTAACTTTGGCGCGGCGAGCAGGTCCCTTCCAAACAGCTAGAGTGTTGTAAAATGACGCACAACAAAAAGTTGTGTTTGCGCTGTGTGAGTGCTCGTAGAGAAGGCCGGAAACCTAAATGGGCAACGAAGGATGAGTGCGACACCGGTAGACAGTAGCCCTGCACGCGCGTGGTTTGGTGCAAGATTTACCACCTTCCAACAGCTAGGAAACCCACCAGTCCTGTGCGCAGCAGGCGCAAAGGCGCGCGTGCTGTCATGCACGCCAAACAAACCGCCGGCGGCTGCGCTGCGGCCCCGAAGTGGCTGCGGGGGCACCCGGACCCCTCGTCATGCCGAGTCTGGGGATCGCGCCTGCGTCTAGGCCGCACCTCTACCGAACGCCGCTTGGCGGCGGGGGCGGTCATGTTGTCGTCCCACTGCTGCCCCCACACACCGTCGGCGCGGCTGCAATCCAAGCGCGGCGCGCCATGCCTCCTTTGCGCCGCAAGCTCAGCAGCAGCAGCAGCAGCAGCAGCAGCAGCAGCAGCAGCAGCAGCAGCAGCAGCAGCAGCAGCAGCAGCAGCAGCAGCAGCAGCAGCAGGAGGGCCACAATGGCAGGGGAGGCACGCCCCCCCGCAGGCGTGCACTCCTTTCGACACCCCATACATACTGGCCCGGGATGCACGAGGTGGTGTGGTATACCCCAGGGCCGGTGCACACACGCATGCGCTTCCACGCGTGCAAACATGCCGGCCCCGGCTGCAACCGAACTGGCTGAATGCCGAGAGGACGCGCGCAGGCGGCCCAGGGCTGGCGTATTGCAGCGGCGGAGCGCTGTGCGATGCCCCCGTCCCCCGGCATGCCTGTGCGCTGGGATGGCGTGAGCGCGCCCCAAGGCATCCTCAGGCAGGCATATCGCTCGACGCAGCCCGCCCCTCGCGCGCGCACGGGCGGGTGGCGGCCCAATGGGGAGGTGGTGCGTGGTAGCAATGGGCCGCGGCGCATCGAATCGGCCGGGCGTGACCGAAGAGAAAGCAGGCGATGTATTGACGTGGGCCCTCCTCGAAAAACATTTGCTGGCCTGCGGGTGAAGCTTGACCGCTGGCCGTCGGCCGGCGGCGAGCCAGGCGCGGGACACGGCACGGCCGCGTGCCGCGCCACCCCCCCCCATCCGGCCAGCTCTACCAGCGTGCCCCGCGAAACTGCCGGCGGCGGCCGCGGCCATCAGGCATGAGTGGGGCGAGGAGTATGAAAAGCGCAGGGGTCCCGTGTTACACGTCCTCATTGTGTGCAAACCCGACCGCCGCAGCCGCATGATCTTCGGCCCTGGGCCTATGAAACAGCTCTGGGCCTACGAAACAGCACGTTGGTCAGCCGAAAGGGCGCCCGCGGCTTCGGGCGCGTTGCTCTCCGAAAATTTGGTCAAACCCCCCTCCCCTATAAGGTCAAACCGCCGTCCCCAGGCAACCACGGCCGCGGCCGCGGCCCAGACCGGGGCTGGGGCTGGGGCCGGGCGC